GTACAAATGTTGGGTTTGATGCTATAACCATGAGGTCTGCTCGCAGAGATGGAGAATGCATACAGAATATGTCTCAGTAATTCTGTGCTTCAGTAATTCTGGCTCAGTTTGCATGTACAGTGGTACCTCGGGTTAAGAACTTAATTCGTTCTGGAGGTCCGTTCTTAACCTAAAACTCTTCTTAACCTGAAGCACCACTTTAGCTAATGGGGCCTCCTGCTGCTGCTGCCGCCGCCGCCTGATTTCTGTTCTCATCCTGAAGCAAAGTTCTTAACCCAAGGTACTATTTCTGGGTTAGTGGAGTCTGTAACCTGAAGCGTCTGTAAGCCGAGGTACCACTGTAATGCTAAGCCAAACTTTAGCATGCAAGTTCTCAGAAAGGAGATGGTGATCGCTTTGCTTCTCCCCCAGTCCCGCTTCTGCCATGCTGCTATGAGCTAACCGGTGGCTTGGGTTAGCATAGGTGTTGGGAACCTTTGGCCCTCCCTGTGTTGCTGAACTACAACTCCCTTCTGCTCCAGTAAGCATGGTCAATGGACAGGGATAATGGGAGTTGTAGTTCAAAAACATATGAAGGGCCAAAAGCTTCTGCATGACTAGCCTTGCATGTTATCTTAGTTTGTCTAACTCTGGACAAACCACGAACTGAAAATGAAGAATGAACCTTAGTTGGAGCTTAAAGTTTATCTGGTGTGAGACAAAGCATGAACCCAATTTTGGAGTATGTACTAAGCCAGATGATGGTTTAGCTTAGGGTTGTGTGTATTTTTAATATTTTGTTGGAAGCTGCCCAGAGTGGCTGGGGGAACCCAGCCAGATGGGCAGAGTATAAATAATATTTTTTTTAAAAAAATTATTTTTATTTTTATTTTATTATTTATTACCACCAGGAGGACCGGAGGAGGAGCACAGCAGCTTCAGTCCTCTCTGGGACTCTGCAATTTCATGCTAAGTTTTCCACCCACATGTCAATGTTCTACTCTCTCCCCACCCGCAATTAAACTGAGATCCACTAAACGAGGGTCCTTCTTGCCTGCACTAGAGCAAGCCTGGGTTTGTGGGTCGACTATACCAGTTGTCTGGGAAGGCAGAAAGTCAGGCCTTGCAAGTTACTTTTGGAGGATCTTTCTGACTGTACAGAATTTTCACTGGAGTACAAATAAACCACAGAAATGTTGGATCGTCTCACTCTCCACTCATTACCCAGTAGCCAATAGTCCCCCTCAGTATTTTCTTACCTAATTTCCACTTTGATGATGTAAGCTGGCAACAGCTGTTAACACATTGGTCATATGCAGAAAAGGGAAGCAGGGTTATTCTGGCAGCTCTGCTGAGAAACCAGCTGCCTTTGTGGTTCAACAGTTGCCTTTCCATCAGTAGCTATTCCATCAGGCTACCTGAACTGTTTCCATCCCAGTTGTCCATTAAAAGATGTGCAACTTCACGAACTGGTTACAGAGTTTGCTTTTTTCCTCCCCCCTCCCCCTCCCTTTTTCCTTTTGTGTCATGTCTTTTGGGTTGCAATCCTGAGGGCAGGGACTACCTTAATTAATAATAATAATAATAATTTGTAAGCCATTTTTTTGGCTGAAAAGTAAACTGCTTTGAATAAATGGATTTTTATCTGTCCCCTTTTGTATAATGACAGCAGATTTCCTGCTATACACTGTAATGGGTTGGATCAGGGCCTCCCCCCACTCCCACCCTGCTGACCTATGGGGAAACCCATCCAGGTGCTGGAGTCAAAAGAGAGTGGAGTCAGTTGTAGGAAGAGGTGCTAGCTTCCTTCACACCATGCACAATCGTTTGGACCTTGATCAGGACAGTCACTCAAATTTAATTGTGTCCTCCTCTCTCCCGATCAAAAACCCCATTGTAGCCTCTTCTACTGGGAAGAAAGGAATGGGCTCTATTGGTTCTCCCATGGTTTTGCCTGCACATTGCACTAGAAGGGAATGAGGATTAATCGCTACCCAGGGAACAAATGCCTCTGTAGTGACCCCTCCCCTCCCCTCTGCTAGAGACCCCTCGCATCTTCCCCAATGGCTGTGGGCCACCGTCACCTCTTGTGGGACAACCCTGCCCCATAGAACATGCCCTAAAATGCCCCAAAGCTGGCAGGCAGGCAGAAATGATCAAGGGATGAGGGAGGCGGCCAGACCTAAGTGTGGGCCTCATCCGTGGTTCTTTTGGGAGGTGGGAGTCTGGATAAGAGAGTCATTTGGAACTCCTTAAAGGTATCAAAGCAAGTCAGGCATAAGTGTTTGTTTAATTCTGCACATGAAACTATAGTGGAAAAATGTATCGTAATACATTCGGTGGTGTGGTTAATGTTCATTACAACCTGATCAAAGAATATTACTTACTATCCTATATCAACACTACACTTGTAAGTACAAGAATACCAGTCACAAACGGGTCCCCTCCATATGTGATACTCTTATATAAACAGAAAGAGCAAAACCAAACATTCCCCTCAAAGTGTATTATTTGATATCATGGTAGGAAGGACATATTGTGAATTTGTGACAAACCTGTTCATTGATATACAATGGTGGAGTGATTAGTTGTTTAGGGGTCAACTCTCTACTACCCTGTTTAATGAAATGAACTTTTCTGAGCCTTCTTGGAAGCAAAGACCTCAATCAAATCCCTGTAATCCAAATCTCTTCCTGTTTTATGTTCAGCTGAAATCTGTGCGGACACAGAAGAGTACAGAGATAGATAGATGATAGATAGCTAGATAGGTAGATAATCAATTTCAGTTTTGAAAATGAATTCTCGCCAGATGCAACTGTTGCAGCAGGGGTGTGGAACCTCTATCCTGCAGGCTTGTAATGTCATTTATCTAAAACCATGTCTACCCGTCAATCAACTGACATCAATGGCGGGGGGGGGGGCTTTCAATCTTATTGGGTGCTGCTTCACATTTAAATAATGCCTGTTTTGTTTTGTTTTTATGTAGATAAAAGTGCCTTCAGATTGAAATTCTCTGTTGAGCAGTGGAATTCAGAAGGCTGTCTAGCTGTGAAATCATGGACAGCCGTTAAGGTAAGCATTGTTTTTACCAGTATTCCTTTTGAAAACAACAACTGAAAACTAAAACTTAGTTGTTATATGTATGTCTATTTCGGAAAAACCAACAAGCTTTGTTCCACAATGGCACCCTTGAGCAGAGATTGACTACTAAAGAGAGGCAGTATCCAGCCACATGTGCTCTGATGCTCAGGCATTAAACATTTGAGGGTAGGAAATGGGCATGTCCGTATGCACTTCATGCTTCACATCTTTGTTCCAAAGGCTCTGGATCTATGCCATTCCCCCCCCCCCCACCGCACAACCACTAGGACAGGATGCAAAATGCAGCAGCCAGACTATTGCCTGTTACAAATTTTATAGTCTGTATAACACCAGTTCTAGACCATGTTTAAGTTGACTTTTGATGCGATTTAAATTCTGAGCCCTTTTTAAATTAATTATTTCATTTCATTTTTATTTGGTGTGTTTATTAATTGGTGCTTTTACCTGTATTATTGTTTTTTAATGATTATATATTAGCTTGGGGGTCCTTCTAGGCAGTATTTACTATTACTAATTACTACCATAAACCCCATCCCCCAACACCCCACTTTCTTATTAGCACAGTTAGCAGTAGTTGTAGTAATAGCATTGTAGGGAGTGGGGTTCCTGGTCCTCAGAAGAGGCATGTGCACATTGGGGTGATAAACTACCTTTTTTAATGTCCCTGGAGCTCCTTTTGCTTTTTGCTGCCTCTGGAGTATAGTCTGATGTACCTTGTTCAGCAGCCGAGTCTGTGATCGCTACTCAGCCTTTGCAAAGGCACGCAGCCCAGCCCAGCCCAGACCTGAGAGAATGCAAGAGCTCCACACAATACTATAATCTAGGGAAGGATTAATTATTGCCCTGCTTTGCGTAGTGTTGGTTCTGTGATTATGCAAAGTGTGGTGTGAGCTGAAATTATGCAAGCTTCCCCACCCCTCTCTCTCTAATGTCGAAAGAGATCCTAATTCAACTGTCTGAATTTGGCTAGCAGACCACTTAAGTTGTCAGCTTCATGTTAGTATCCCTGTCAGGAGCTTTTCGGGGCTTTACACAAAAGAGTCAGTCACTTCTGTGCAGCAGCAAAAAGAAAGCAATGGTTTCCCATTCACCCACTGTTGGGACAGGGGTGGGTGGAAAGGAAACCCATTGGCATTTTTAACACAGATTTTTTCCTTCTGATATTTTTACCTGGGGTTTCATGCTCTCTGAAGCATTATAAATTCTTGTTCAGAGTAATGCTGAACAGGATTCCAGAATGCTTCAGAGAGCCCGAGGAATTATTATTGCTGTTTAGCTTAAAAGCAGCTCAGAGAAGCAACAGAAAGGAGCCAACTCCCATAATTCCATGCCAGTTGTAGGCATCCTTTGTTATAAGCAAGGCAAAAAGTGGTTGGAGTCTTTGCCTTGATGGGACCAATGTTTGTATTCCCAAATATGGAGGGAAAGGCCAGCTGGAGAACAGGATTCCTCAGCAGGCAGAGTGGTTGGCAAGAAGACCCCAAGCTGAGCAGCCACTGAGCTATATCACTGTGCCAATTTTACCAATCCCCAGCATATAAGGCTGGTGGGTTGCATTCAGCTTCACGGGTCACAAGTTCCAGAGTCCTGTTTTACGGCAGCTCCTAGGAAAGTTTGCCCCCCCCACTTGGCCAACCAGGGATCTAACACAGAAGCAGCTAGGTATTGCACGTTGTGGTAAAAAGTGAAAGAGGGGCTCTGCTATTCTCTCCCACCCCACACAGAATCCATGTTCGTTCAGCATTTGCTGGCCTAAGCACCTGGCCACAAAAGCTTAAAGCAATATGTTGCATCTTTTATTTATTGACATATTTATAGCCCACGTTTTCATTAAAAAATACAACAGAGCAGTATACAGCATCTGAAATTACAAAATTATAGTTTTGTAAACTAGGGTGCCAGAATTGGACAACCTTCAGTTTGATAGCTCAGTTGCTAGAGCATGAGACACTTAAACTCAGGGTCATGGGTTCAAGCCCTATGTTGGGCAAAAGATTCCTGCATTGCTGGGTTGGACTAGATGACCCTCATAGTCCCTTCCGACTCCACAGTTTGATGATTTTATAGTGTATGTACTTTGTTCCAGGACAAAGCAAATCAGAGACCTTGTCAGGACTTGGGAACTGTGCTGTTTCATCTTTTAAACTACAGCACAACTGAATAAATCCACAACAAATGTCTTGTAATTTAGTAATGCTACTTAACTTTCTGGCTTCCAGTAGTCTTGGACAACCTTCTATAAATTCATCTCTTGATAGCCTGGCTCTTATCTTTACTTCCCTCATGCTGTCTCCTGTATCACTGAATTCTAAATGGTAATCACTATGGGGTAGGGATCTGTTTTGAGGGGTTTGTTTTGGTTATGATGTTACTCAGTGAAGCTCCACTTGCATGCATAGATACATACATACATAGATGCATACATAATTTTTTTATTTAGAAAAGATCATCAGCTTATGCAGGAGAGCTGGTGAGAAGGACATCCTACTCACTATGACAGATGGAACTAATACTCTTCTGCCTTCCATTTGTGACTTCTGGCAAAGAAGGACTTGGCTCCCTGTGCAAGTAATCATAGCAAATGTGTTGAGCAGTAGCTCTCCCTCTTCCACTCTATTTAGAATGATGTGCAGTTGGTCTTGTCACCAGGACAGATAAAGGCAGTGTTTTGTTCCCCCCTCTACAGAACTTCCAAAAATAGGCATGAACTGCTAACTATTTGAGCTAATAAGACACTCTTCTTTGAATTAGAAATCTGAGTTGCATGTGAGATGTTGCAAACCATCTTGCTCTTTTTCATTTCATTTATTATGAATGGAGAATTTTAGCATATTATAAGGAGTTTTCTTTTCCTACCTTCATTATCCAGTAGGAATGCTAGTGTTGAGATTCAAGAGTTTCCCATGCTCTATACAAAAGTTTCCTAATGAAGAGGCTGTGGGATGCTTCCTAATCATTTGATATCACGTGAGGGATAATTGACTGGAGCTTTTAAAAATACTTTTCTTCCCTCCATAGAAATAGCCTCAGGTGTGACTATAACTACAGTTACTGGGCCATCTCTGCTGGAGATCTGGTACAGTGTAGTGGTCAAAAGACTGAGCTGTGATTCAGGAAGACCACACTTCATATCTCATCTCCCCTAAACTTTGGCAAGCCACCGTGTCTCAGCCTCAAAACCTATCCACAATGTGGGTCTAATACTGCTGAATACAATGCCTTATGACAAAACTTTCCAAACTCTGTGTCGTGATACATTAGTATGTCATGCTAACACTCCCTGTCCTCCTCCCAGGGTTGGAAATGGGTTAGTTTAACCTCCAGTTTGCTGGTAAAACTGAATTACTGTGTTGCGAAATGATGCATGTCTAAAAAATGTGTCACCAACATGAAAAGTTTGGAAAGCTCTACCTTACAGAGTGGTTGGTAAAGAAAAACATGAATAATATATGTATAGCATCTTTTAGTTGCCTTGCTTGTTTCACTCCCCAGTGGGTGGGTCATTCCACTTTGTGAATGAGGATCAGAATGCTTTAAAAGCACAGGTAATATTCAGATCTCAGTGGCACCGGAAAAGAGGTAATGTGAAACAGTCTTGCCCAGGAATAGGAAACCTGCAAATTCTCTGGACATTGCAGGACTCCTGCTTTAATCATTACTAACCCTCCGTCCCCTGCTCACACCTACAAATTCTTCTTCTGGGACCTTATGTATAGACCCCGTCTGCCTGAAGTGTTCCCTTTTATTTTTTTCTTACTAATATGTTGATCCCATCCATCCTACAAGGAACTCAAGCCAATGGACATGGATATGGTTGTTAAGCAGAAAGCTTCCCTAGTTTTTTTCTGCTTAACAACCACATCAAGTATGTTAGGCTGAGAGGGAGAGTGGCTGGACCAAGTTCATTCACACACTTCATAGATGAGCAGGAATTTTAACCTGGGTCTTCCTGGCTGTAGCCTGGCACCATGCATGCTATTTATATCAGTAGCCTTAAGCAGTAAGCCTCTCAGCAGTGTATAACATTAGTATTAATATTAATAATAGAGAGAGAGAGAGCGGGGCAGCGGCGCAGCATATGACCGCGCTGCCCAGGGCGGGCGGGCGCACTCCCGAGGAGGGTGGGGCATGCTCCTGAGGGGGGCAGCATGCGGAAGGTGCCCTCCCAGGCGCGGGATAGCCTCTTGGGTGTATGGAGCGGCACGCGTGCCCTGCAGCCGGGGGTGGAGCGAGCTGCCGATGGCAGACATTCGGTGCACCGCACGCCCACGACTCCCAAGCCTCCCCCAGCTGTCAAAATGAAGGGGGGAGGGGGAATGCCACTGGCAAAGCGGTGCAGCTCCCCCTTTCCCCCAGTGGCTCCGGGTAGGCTTGGGAGTCGTGGGCGGGCAGCAGGCCGAATGTCACCACCCCCTCAGGGATGACACCCGGGGCAGTCCGCCCCCACCGCACCCCCTTCCTCCACCACTGCAGGGGTGGAATTCTAACAGGAAGCACCAGAGTGGTTTATTGGTTAGAGTACTGGACTTGGATCTGTGAGACCAGTGTTCAAATCTCCACTCAGCCATGAAGCCTAACCTGCCTCACAGGGCTATTGTGAGCATAAAATGGAGAGAAGTGTGTATAAAGAAAAAGGTGATATATAAATGTAATTAATAATACAAATATAAAGCAAGAAACAAATGCAAACGATTCGTAATGGTCAGCAAACCACACAGCTTCATTTGTTTCAAGGCTGAGTTCTAGCATTGAAAACTGATCTGGATCTGAGCCCAAACTCAAAATTAGATCTTGTGAGTGCCCCTAGGTGCCATTTTAAAGCCCTTCCTGTGTGCTGGTCCTAATATTAAACCATGGGTTGTATAAACAGACAGCGGCAGTCCTCTGTGCGTACTAAGGAGTATCTACATGAATTTTATTTCCTCTTTGTAGTGAAGAGGAGCTCGGTTTCTCAGGCGCTTTGTGTTAAGGAAAGGATTTGGCCAACTGGGAAGAAACTGGCTTTAAAGATAGCCTAGCTGCCAGCAATGAAAGCTTGAACTTTAACTTCTACTGGAGCAGAGTTACAAACTAGGGAAGCCAAAAATGTCCCTCTGGGTCATTTCAAGCTCTCAGGGAAACTTGAATATGCTAAGTAGAATTGTTTGTGAATGAGCCAATAGAGATGGTTAGGCAGGCAGGGTACAGGCAATGTCTTTTTCCCACAAGTGGGAGGAGGGGTGGGTGAGCCCAGAAGATATAAGCTCAAAACAAAGCCAGGCTGTGTCCCTGAATTGTTCACATCCACTGGATAAGTGAGGCTTGGTCCAGAGAAAGAGAAGTTGGAGCCATGATTCTAACAATGGAACCTGGTAAGTGTTTTTTTATTTCCTAGAGGGGAAAGAATAAAATAGTAGGTGCCTGTTTTAAATTATTCTATTGTTTAAAGGCGTATAGTCCCTTCCTTGTTTTTGAGTTCTTATTTGATGTGTGCCTTGTGCCGTGTGAACTTTTCAATGGGCTCTAATTCCCTCTGGATCAGAGAGCACACTATGGGCAAAATAAGTTGTTTTATATGAGCTCGTTCAGGGACGCTTGCGATACATTTGTTATGATGGTGCCAGAAGCTGGAGGCGTGATAAACACCGGAGTTGTTAGGGAATGGGAAGGGGGCAGTCTTTCATTTAATGGCAAGCCATTACACGGAGAGCTGTGTGCCCTTAGTATTGAGAAGTATCAAGTATTAAGGGAGGAGCCCTGTGCCAATGAGCAAAGCTTCAGTATGTGAAGTGCAGCCTTCTGGGCTTTTGTTTTGTTTTACAGTGTCGTTTGCTGTCTACTTTTACCATAAGGGGAAAGAAACAAAATCTCTTTTGTGGTTTGTAAATTTCTCACTTTCAGGAGCAAGAGAAAAGGAGGCAATTTATACGCTGGAATTGGGTTGGCTGAAACATTGCAGATAGGTTGCAGAACGTTAGTAATACAAGCTGTGCATAAGTCCATGTGCAGTCCTGGTACAGGCTGTTTCGTTAAAATGGATATGTTGCATTCATCTAACATGTGACGCCTGCACTCTGCCTCTGGACAAATGGATTTTGTTGTGAGTGTGATTGTATCAGTAGTGACTATTTTTTTTTAATGTGGTGCTTTCAGCCTAAGCACACTGCTCAGTTCTAATGTGCATGTTCATTATTCTTTTTAGTATCAAATTTTTATACCGCCCTTCATCTGAGCATTGCAGAGCAGTTAACAATATATTTTGTTTTCCATGCTTATTTCATACTTGTAGCACAAATCTATGCATTTCTACTCAGAAGTAATTTGCACTATGTTCAATGGATGTCACTCCCAGGTAAATGGGCATAGAATTACAACCTGAGCCTATAATCCGAAGTATGCTAACCAGGAAGTAAGAGCCATTCAGCTCCAAGAGACTTTGTTTTGAGTAGACATCCTTATTTTACCCCCTGCCCACAAGGAACCCTGGGAATTATAGCTTTTGGGGGGGAGGGGCAGTGTTCTTTGGCACAATTCTGTGGCATAAAATGTTTATTTTGTATGTTTGTACCGTACCTTTCCTCCTAAGGAACTCAAGGTGCGGTGTACATAGTTCTCCCCCTTCCCATTTAATCCTCACAGCAACCCTGTGAGGCAGGTATTTGCACTTAGTGGAGATATGTCTTACATCAGCAGTGGTGAACCTCTGGCCCATGGGCTTAATTGGGCCTGACAGTGCTCCCCATTTGACTCACAAGGCCAGTTAGACAAGAGGACATAGGTTGGCTGTCAGCTTTACGTTGTGTGACGTCAGGTGCAGGACATGGACTTAGTAAAACATCAAATTCCAAAGGCATGAACTGAACTGAGAGTGCACTTAGAGTACACCTCTGGTTCTCCCTTTGTAGCCACAATTAGAACTGGACACTTTGGTGCCTTTTTCTATTGCCCACAAAGGGTTGTCCAGCCCATCCACCCCTTTCAATACTGGTCCTAACAACTGTGCTTTCGGAAACA